TGCGTATGTTATTATGGGTCTCACCACCATGTTATAAAGCCAGTATACCATGTCTGGTTTTAACCCCCATTTTTTTCCAAAGGATGTACGTAGACGTGAACGTGAATGATATTTGAATGTGCATGCGTAGATCTCAATTCCACGTATACGTTTACGATCATAGCATCACTTCAATTCTCTATTAATTCGGTTCGGTTAAACGTTAACCTAAACGTACGAATTGACAGCTACTACCCTAGCCAATGGAGATGACATGCCACTTCTTCCACCCTTAGAAGCCATGTCATAGTTGTCAAAATTTAATTGTGTCCAAATCAGTATATTTTAATTATTATAATATTTAATATAGATGCAACTAGTTTCGGCCTCACACAGGCCTCTAATGCATAAATCCTTCAATTAAATTAGGAAAAAAAAAAACAAAGAATGAACGGTAATTTAGGATTAATAATAAATTGTTAACTGTTAACACTATGTATATTTTTTTCAGAATCAATAGGCCTCATCCTCTTATAAAACTTCATTTTTCGGATTTTAATTTGATTTCGTTTTCTGTTTCGGAGTTATGACTTTTTTTCAATATTTTAATCCCCCTTTTCCCCCACATTTTATTCAGATTTCAGATTTTTTCAAAATTAATACGCTTTATTTCCTTATAGAGCTTGATTTTTAATAAAAATTTCATGTTGATATCGTTTTTCAGTTTTGATTTATGATTTTTTTTATTTCAACCTTCTTTGACCTCCATTTTTAATTGATTTTTTTGATTTGCTTTTGTTTTCCTCTTATAGAACTTGATCTTTACTAAAAATTTCATGTTGATTACTTTTCGTTTTTGATTTATAATTTTTTTTTATATCAATGCCCCTTAACCCACCATTTTTAATCAGATTTTTTTTCAAAATAAATAGGCTTTGTTCCCTTATAGAGCTTGTTTTTTGCTAAAAATTTCAAGTTGATATCATACAGATAAGGAAAGTATAGGAATCATAATTTTCTTCGTCCTTGAGTGTTCGATGGATGTTTATATTTTGGGTTCCTCTGAATCCGTCTTGACTATTTTCGCGATGATGTCTGTCTGTGTGTGTATCGATAACTCATGAACGAATACAGAGAAAAACCAAAAATTTAAAACTTAAGGTTTACATAATATATCCTACGGTGATTATATCAGTAGATTTTCAGCATAGTCGGAACATCTGGGGGGAGGCGGGGTACTTTATAAGGGATCGTTTCTCTACTTTATGAAATAAATCTATTATTTACCCTTGAAGAAGAAATGTTTTTAAGGAGGTCCTTTCGCCACCAATGTTAAATAAAAAATATTAGATTATGACTAAAATTAATTTTAATATTAATTTCTCAATAAATTCCAAGGTAACCTATATATTTTATTGTAAAAAACAAAACCTAAATATTTCAAAAACCCTATTTTTAGTTTTTTTCTACTCCATCTAATCAATAAATAATAATATAATTCGAGAATTGTTGTTGAGGTCTTATTTTCTCGTAAGAAATACTCACATTTAAAAAAAAAATTCTCAAAAATTTTCACTGTAAGGTATAGTTAAAAGTTCAACATTAGATAAATAAGGACTTCAACTATTAGAAAAAAAAATAAATTTTAGTCATAATCTAATATTTTTTATTTAACATTGGTGGCGAAGGGGGTGGCGAAAGGACCTCCTTAAACAAAAGTTGTGTGTAAAATGGGCCGTATTCAAGAAACTTGACAAAAAGTGCAAAATTCGAATTTTTTAGAAAATTGTTCAAATAAAAGTTGTTTGCGATATCATTCTCTATAATTTTGGATTTATACGAAGGGTACGGCGAAAAAACCAACAATGTTCATTTTATAGGTACTTGTTATATGATACCGAGTCCAAAACATGTGCTAAATTGTAAGCGAATAAAACAAACGCGGTCTGAATAATAAGACATTTAAAAATAACCATAATGGTTAATAACAGACGTTGTCCGCGCATTACTGGAAAAAACCGACGTTGTCCAGGCCAAATATATACAACGATATGCAAGTACTAAAACGTTTTTGTCACCCATATACTAAGTTTATACAAAGAGTACAAAATATAACTTTAAGTCACTCGCCCAATTACCGATTTCTAAAGCGATCAGCCGCCAGTCCTCCACAGTCCTTTCTCGATCGGCAGTATACCGGTGTAGTTCAACGCGTAAGGCTCGTTTGCTCCGCTACGTTAGATTCCGCTGTGTATTGGCCGTTACATTCCACTATCATCGCCGCCGCGTCTTACCGCTTAACCCCGGTATAGCCCAATTAGCTCTGTACTCTTTGAAAAAACGCCGACTTGTCGGCCCGCATTTGAAGCGCGATTTCCTTTGTAAATGCCGCGAGTGACTTCTCTTTTATAGTTATATGGTTTATAAAACATTGTTATACAGGTGAACATCTCTTTATTATACGTTAGTTTTAAAATGGAAATTATTCCTTTTTAACAAATTATTTGTCACGTTTATTTTTTTCAACCCGAATATAATAATCTTACGTTTAAATTATTTTGTAACAAGTCAACTATACCAGAATAAATAACGTTAAAATTATTAACGTGCAGTTTTATTTATTTATATAACTGTAACATAAAATTTGGTAATAATATTTTTATAAACTCAATTTTCTCAGTAAGTCAGTTTTATGACATCGTCTGTTTTTCCCTTACCCTTCGACATGATTTCTCTTAAATGGATTATAATGAAAAAAATTGAGGAAAAGTGTAAAATTTAAATTTTTTAGTATTTTCATTGGCAATGGAACAGCCAAATGGAATAAATTTGGTAATAAATAAATGAGGCGTGTTTGGAAAAGCGATCGGACATGTCGATTGGTATTTTTAGTTAACCATTTTTTTTAACAAAAACTTTTTATACAGGGTGTGTCATGTAACAGTCGCCAATACCAACTTTTTTATTTTAAATGCAATACCCTGTATATTTTTAAATTTTTGGATTATTCAGAAAATTCTAGAAATATTTTATGTACTATGTCCTATACTTAACTGTTTCGGAAATATTAAATGTTATCCCACATATTGCAAAAATTAACATTAATAAAATAAAATTTGAATACAAAAATTCGTTACAACACACTCAAAAACTAATAAGTAATACTGTTTATTTCTTGATAATGTAACAAAAAAACACATCTCAATGTAGGCTCGCAGCGAACCTCTTGGCAACATCCTAATCTGAAATAAAAATGTTTTCTAACGTTATTCGTCTTCTTAAGTTAGCTAGGTCGGGAGCTTTAGTTTTGTATACAATACTTTTGATATATAACCATAAGAAAAAGTCTAATAATCTCGGATCAGGGGATTGTGCTGGACATTTCATCGATCCTCGCCTCCCTATTCACTGATTTGGAAATACTCGAATGAGGTACTGCCGGACATTGATTTGGAAATGGGGCGGTGCTCCATCTTGCTGAAACCTTATCATATTCGCTGGAACTTGTGGATTTGCTGGATCGGGATATAAGTTTGTTAAAGTTGGCACGACATTATTTTACAGCAGAGCTAAATAATTATCGCTATTCAAATTGCCATCAATGAAAAAGGGAACTATGATGTGATCGGCAACAATTCCTGCTAAAACATTAACCAATGTTCTTCTCTCATCCAGTAAAGATTTTTCCTAGACCAATAGCGACCATTTTAACAATTAGCATGACCGTGAACTGTTAAGGTACACTCACCAGAAAACAAAACATGTTCTAATTGGATCACCATATTATCTAACATTGCCATCATTTGTTCAAAATCGTCTTCCATGAGCTCCAGAGTTGTTATTATTTTATGGGGATGCATTCTATTTTCTTTTAATTTTCGAATAATCGATGAATGTCTAATATCGAACATTGGGGCTGCTTGTCAACTAGAAGTATGTGGGTTTCCCTAAAACTCAAGCATAATATCCAATTTGGTATCATTAGTTATTGCATTGACAGCTGTTTTTTTTATCTGCGTTACATGTCGAAGCTCGCGAAACTTCTTCTCTATTTTACTAATTGTCCCTTAGGATATACGCGGCAAGTTTGGAAATTTTTCATGAAATAAGCAAGCAACTTCCATTTGTGTCCGTGTGTTATCTCCATAACCAATCATCTGTAGAATTTTTATTATGTGCATTTCTGTTAAATGAATCATTTTCTGATAAACAGTTAAGGAAATTCAAACGACTGTAACAGTCAGTGTTATAGCTGTTTGAACTACTGTCATGCAGTCAGATAACAATTTGCTAAGGTCAGACGTTTTAAACAAAGGTAAACAAAACTATTTAGATACCTATAGCTTTTTTATTTCATATCAATAAACAGAAATTCCTAAATGGTTTTTGCTTACTTTCTCATTATCAGACCTAAATAGGAAATAAGTATTGAGTGTGTTGTAGCAAATTTCTGTAACCAAACAATTTTATTTTGTTAATGTTAATTTTTACAATAAATCAAAAAACATTTAATATTTTCGAAACAGTTAGGTATAGGAATTTTCTGAAGAATCTAAAAATTGAAAAACATACAATGTTGCATTTAAAATAAGAAAATTGGTACATGACACATCCTGTATAAAAAGTTTTTGTTAAAAAAATGCCCAACTAAAAATACCAATCGACGTGTCCAAACGTTTTTCCAAACATGATCCCATTTATTAATTACCGAATTTATTCTATTTGGCTGTTCCACACTGTATATAAATAACAGTTTCGAGTGTGTGTGTGAAAAATGTATGTATTTAGTTCATCCTCTAAACATTTATAGGGGTGATACAATAGGTTGTACAAAATAACCAGAAAAAGCCTGTAATAACTAGACAGGAAAGTCATGTGTTGGACACATCAGATTTTTTATAATTGAAATGAAAGTACGAATTTCCAGAACAAGACAGATTAGGAAATTAACTTATTAACGTAATTAATAAATATTTTAACTTTTTATTGATCTTAATTTGCGTATTTTTACTAATAGTTACCTTTTCCTGTTGAAAAAGCGTTGGCTATGGCCGTAGCAGAACCTGGAGGGGAATATGGGACGTCATCTTGCCCCCCTTCAGTGTTTTTAGAGCGATGCCTCAAACCTCCACCTCCTCCACCACTGATGTTAATTGGAAAGAATGAAGTGTAGGAAGGACCATCTGAAATCAATAAAAATATTAATTGGTTTATACAAACTACTAACAAAAAAAATAATTTAAAAGAATTCAAATACTTTTGACGTGTTTTCGACTTTTTTTTGCTAGTATTTTTACAGTTTACAACACAGCAACTCCGGTTGCTCGTTGTATTGTTTTTAACTATGTATAATATCAGAGACAACAGGACAACAGAGACGTGTAACTTAATAGGAACATTTGTTCGGCGGTCCATTTAAATTACATATATGACTTTCTTTCTCTTTTACATTGATCTTTACATATATTTATCTCTCTCCAATAAAACTAACATCAGTCCTAGAGGTCGCTGATGTTGCTGGTTTTTTGACGTCGACGTGTGACGTATAGATTAGAACCGACAACTGACAATGTTATGAATGTTGTTATGAAGGTGTGTATTTTATTAAAATTAATTTAATTTGGGCCCCGTTTATTTCTTTGTAACTGATTTTGTTGTTTAATTAATTTTGGGGGGGGTGGAAATGTTTATTTTCGCATATTTTTTTTGCATAAAGTAGTTTCTGGAACCAAACTCGCGTTTTTGTACACGCTTCTTTCTAGAGGTAATTTCCAATTTATTAAGAAAACCACTGTATAATGTGTGTGTTTAATAATATATTAAAAATGGCTATAATTATTTTAGGTGAATTGGAACAGAGATCCATTGTTTCATCTACTTTTGTTCATTAAGTAGGTAGATAAATGTCTCAACAGCTTTATTGGCAGCACAAAGTTACCACGTACTAGAAAAGAAGTAATATGTATGCCGAGTAAAAAATCTCTGCACATGTAGTATTGGCAAAGGACTTTTGAAATGATTGGAGGTTGGCTATTTTTTACATACACCTACCTCTAATAGCCACTCTAGTGGCTATTAGAAGATTGTAGAGTCATTTAAACAAAACAAAAAATTAATCCCAAAAGGGCAGAATTTTAAATCAGGATGCATTGGAAAATAAATCTGGGGACATAGGTCGGTTAATCTATAATTAAGGGAGTACTGAAAATAGGTATACCCTGGTGGTGTAAGAGACAGATAAGGGACAACGACAAAAAAAAATTGCAAAAATGTATTCATCTTTAAATAGTGTTTATTATTATTATTATTATTATTATTATTATTATTATTATTTGTTAAGTTTGAAAAGTACCTCCTGCTGCAGAATAGATCGAATAGATTATACGACTAGTTGGAGAAGGTCCAAATTAGGAGACTAGGAAAACTTTTACATGACTGGGGACACAATAGGAATGCACACGCACAATATACACAAACAGATGACATAACAGGGGTAAACCTTCAGCAAAGTCCTGTTTAAATGATGATAGTATGTCATCCTTCATACCCTTTTAAAAGGCATGGCATATAAATCTATTGATCTTGATGCCTAAGAGGAGTTAGCCGGGGGTTGTTTGATACATTTGTGTGAGTGTATCTGTGTGTTAGTTTCGTTTCCATGGTTTCTATTAAAATAAACACTCATAACATATCGATACCTTTTTAACCGACTTCAAAAAAGGAGGAGGTTATCAATTCGTCGCGATATTTTTTTGTATGTATGTTCAGCGATTATTATTTAACACGGTGTCCGATTTCAATGATTATTTTTTGTTAGAAAGGGAGTACTTCAGGGGTGGTCCCATATAAATTTAATCAAAATCTAAAAATTGGGTCCACAAGAAAATCCTCAAACTCTTCATTTTTTATGTATGTTTAGCGATAATGCTTTACCACCTTGTCCGATAAATATGATTCTTTTTTTTGTTAGTAAGGGGGTACCTCAGGGGTGGTCCCATATAAATTTGGTTAAGATGTGGTGATCTGCACGTTTTTGAAGTCGGTTTTTTTAATTTTTAATTTCTAATCCTTGTTACCAGACTAATGTAAGCGACATTTGTTCAAATGGCACTTATAATAGTCTGGCAAAAAGTTATCGATATACTCTATACTTTATAAAATATTTGTTACATTATTTTTTAAATATATTATGAATATATAACAACTGTGACTTCTTTGTAATTTGTCACAAAATGATACGAGGTACTTTCTAAACGTAGCAATTGTAGTTTGTTTTCTGTACCTTACAAAAATATAATTTATAGAAAAAGAGTTTGGTGTATTATTTTTCCAAGTTTAAATATTTATTAATCAATAAAATTTTCAAGTTTTTTTAGCGAAATTTACAAGAGTAATAAAAACTATGTTCACTGCTTATATTAAACTGATTAAAACTTCCTTTATTAAAATGATTATTTATATGATAAAAAATTTGATGTTATTTAATATACAGTGAAACAATAGTTTTTGTTTCTTCTGTAAATTTGTATAGAACAACTTATTTATTTCTGAATCCATGTTTGAATTTCCCGCCCTAAAGCATTTTAAAATTTTCCCGCTATATACAAGTGGCGCCATCATAGACTGGTTTGTGGTTACAATCGGCAAAACAACTTTTAACGAACAAAAAAAATACATTGAGTTACACGTCTCGCTGGGTTGTCTCTGATAACATGTATAAAAAAGTATAATGTATATGTGTATATAATATGCCAAAATTACAAAATATCGCACTAAAGTGCTCGAATTATCTACAGCTTGAGCTAGTATTGCTTTTGCTTCCCCTACCATGACTTCGCACTGAGCGAATTGGAATTGTACTCCTATACATCTTACAGAGGTGAAATGGGTTTTCACTTCCAACACAACTGTATCTTAATTTTCATTATTTTTATTATTAACTCGAGGTTGTTCGAAAGCTCCAAAGTTAATTAAATTCGTAACTATTTTTCTATAACTAGTTTTATGTTAATAATGTCTTTCTAGATACAATTCAAAATATCTAGCTGACGCTGTTTCAGCATTTTGATGCGATTGCAAATAAATTACTTACTTAACAAATTTTTCTACCTACCTATATCAAACGCGAGATCAAACAATTTAAACCACTTTTTATAATCTTTAACAAATACGACAGATAGTTAAATATTTTATCTGTTTTAATCATGGCCTAACACATAAAAATGCTTGAAATAATATTCATTCTTTCTAGAATTATACTGTCGCGTTTTATATTATTTGAGATTGAGAATATTAAAAAAGTTTTCATATTTGCTAACTACTAATTCTGTAATTCTAATTTGTTATTTTTTTTCTCCATTATAATCCTTAATTAGTTTCAATTGTATTTATTTTAAGTAATACCAAATTTGCTGAAAAATTGTATTTTTCTAATTTTGACATATAAAGTGATATTTTTATAATCGGAGCAAGTATCAAAATGATCTACTTAATGCAATCAGTTGCATGAAGTTGAACATTATGTAACTGATTACGAAAAGTTCATTATGTCACCAGTTGCGAAAAGATACCAAACAAAATAAATCTTTTTTATTTTAAAATCAAAATATACATTGCTTCATTGCTTTTGAAAGTCTATAATAAGGAAACGTTGGCTATAAAATTAGTTTTTCTACTACCGTGCGTAAAGTACGTACTTTAAACATAAGAGTTAAAAACCTATTTTTTTAAATATTTCTTCATTTGTTAGTCATTTTGTTCTGTAAGAATTATAAATTTGTAAAGTTCCAATAAATTTATTTTTGTTGCTGTGTACAATTTTTGGCACATTTTACTTTTTTCACTAGTGCGTAAAGTAAAGTACATTTTTTCACTAGTGAAAAAAAGTAACTTTTATATTTCTAATATTAGTGGATTATGTGTACGGTAGTAGAAAAAATGCCACTCGTGTGTAAAGTCCCTTTTTTGACGAATGTGATTGTTGTCGCACGAGCCGTAGGCGAGTGCGACAATCACTTTACACACTTGTTGCATAAATAACTATTTTTCAACGAACTTATGATTATTAATAATAATAATTCTGGTTCGGTCGCTATTTTAAAGTTTCTTAATCCATCATAAACTTATACGAAATAATCAAAACACTGCAACACATAAATCACGACACAATTATGAAGAAAAAATTTAAAATATTTCTATTTTCATTTGTGAATTTCAAACGATTTGACGTCTATCAATAACGACTAATATGTTATGCAACTAACAGTGTAGATAGGAGTAAAGTCAGTTGCATATAGAGATAATTTAAAAAATTGTTGATTCAAATAGGGTAAATTATAAAAAGCGATATTTCTTTCCTAACAATTTTGTCTAAATATTCGTTTCAAAAATCTTTGATTAGAAGTACAAAAAATGAATGGTTAGTTATTTTATACCACAATAATTATTTTATAAATAATTTAGTCAAGATTAGGAAATATCCTGTAACACGTTACATAAATAGCTATTAAATAAAGCAAGGTTTAAAAAGTGCTTAAAAGTTATTACTTACTATCTGAAATCAGATATTTAAAAAAATATTATCTACATGTTATTTTAGACGGGCGCGGTCTTGCTAAATTAACGAAATATTATTTTTTATTAAGTTATAAGGATATTTCCTAAAAATTTGAATGGCATGTGGCACATCGTTTAAATTTTTAGAGGGTAATAATATTTTGTAAAAATCGAAGATATAAGAAATAACAAAGCTACGGTAGGTAACTTTAATGTAAGAAAAAAAAAATAAAGAACTCCCACGAAATATTCTACATTTAAAGGTGTCTTAATAATGTAACACTTGAAATGGCTCCATTACCAAAGAGCGCAGGATAAAATGGGGCAGGACAAAATGGCGAAGACAAAATAGTGCAGGAAAAAATTGCGCAGGACAAAATAGCGCAAGGACAAAATAGTAAAAGGAAAAAATAGCGCAAGACAAAATAGCGCAAGAAAAAATCGCGTAAGGACAAAATAACACAGGTCAAAAATGCGCAGGACATAAAAGCGCTTGTCAAAAAATTCCAGTATTCTATTTATAATTGAAAAACAAAACTAATATACCTAATATGAGCGATCTAAAGCCATCACAGGTTGTTTTGAAAAAAAAAAAAAAGAATATAAAATTAAAAAAATCGTAACTAATTTACCTAACCTGTACGGCCTGAAGCCATATACAGCAACTCGATATGGCTTCATATACATATACAGCATCGGATCGGTGGCGTAGCAGTCTCACGCGCTTTTTAATTAAATTGCATGGTTCGTTATAGAATTTGATGTGTGCTGTTTCAATAGAAATTCAATTTTTGTTGGTATGACATGCAGATTATAAAATCGCCATGCGGTACCGTGTCGATGATGGTGGTTGAGGTTTTCCGGGTTTTCTTCAACTGTAAGTCATCTTTAAGTCGCCCCTAAGCACCACGACAAGTAATAATAATAATTTCCATCCCTTCCCCTACACAACTCACTCAGTCGACTTCAGGGGTTGAAATTCACTCCTAAGGGAGTGAATTGGGGAGAGTATTATTATTAATATTATTATTCTGGCATTTAGTCACGTGTTAATTTGTTTCACTCTTCTTTGAAAAAGCGCTAATTTGACTCACTATAAATTAGACTAGACTTTAGTTGGTCTCAATTTATTTATATCAGGCGCTAACTCGTCGCTCATGTATTTGTCTTGGCGAAAATTTGTCGCTCATGTATTTGTCTTGGCGAACATTTGTCGCAGCAAATTTGTTTTGCGCGAAATTGTTTTGCGTTAAAATGGATTCAGATCCTAAAATGTGAGAGAGCCGGAGCTACACTTAAAACATTCTCTTCATAGGCGTCTTCGAAACAGTATTTATTACGCATTATTTCAATGAATTTCATTAATCAAAAAACATCTTATTCGTTACGCGTTATTTTGTCGTTGCGCCATTTTGTCCTGCGCAATTTTGTCCTGCGGTATTTTTCCTGCCTTATTTTGTCCTGCGCTATTTTATCCTGCGCTATTTTGTCCTGCGCTATTTTGTATTGCACAATTTTGTCCTTGCGCTGTTTTGTCCTTGAGGTATTTTGTGTTATAGAGACCTTCGAAATATGTCAAATTAACTGTTATTAAAAACACAAAATCATGGATTTTCAGTTTTTTTGAAATAAGTCAAGAACTACATACCTTTTAATAATTTTGAAGATGGACTTGAAATCAATATTAACTTTTTAAAAATACTCCTTATTTAATCAATCTTCTAACTTATATATTAAGCAAGATACCAAGCGAATTTGGGACACAGTATATACAGTATGTCCCCCTAGATTGGAGTCATATGGAAAACTTTTTTACTATTAAGTTTTAGGAAAAAAAGTTATTCTTCATAAAAAGTTTTGCATTATCTAAAACCTAGAATACAGTCATCAAATTTTTTGAGTGGTATACGAGGTTTGTCAAAAAATATGAGTTTTACTGAAGAATAAAGTATCTTTATTCTTTATACGACTAATAAAATTTGATATTTGATGGTTGTATCTTAGGTTTTAGACCATTTTGGACTTTTTATGAAGAATAACTTTTTTTCCTAATATTAATAATAAAAAAGTTTGCCATGTGCCACCAACTGTCTACGTAAATTGACGGCATATGAAAATCTTTTTTATTATTAATATTGGGAAAAAAATTATTCCTTATAAAAAGTCAAGCATGGTCTAAAACCTAAAATACAACCATCAGATGTCAAATTTTATCAGTCATATAAGAATAAAGGTACTTTACTCTTGAGTAAAACTCATATACCTTTTGACAAACCTCGTATACCACTGAAAAAGTTTGAGATTTGCTGACTGTATTCTAGGTTTTAGATAATGCAAAAGTTTTCCATATGATTCCAACCTAGGGGTACATATTGTATACAAAGATAGTAAAATATCTGATCTAAATAAAATAAGAAAATAAAAAAACTGTACTTACTCTTTGCAAATGGCCAAGGTGAATCTTCTTCTTCTTCTTCATCTTGAATAGGTCTGTGAGGTTTCCTACCTCTTCGGTTTGATGTAGGAACATTTCTGTTGTCTTGAGTGCTATCTCCTCTGGATTCTTCTTCCAGGGATAATTCTGGATCTATTGCAAAAATTGGTACCAATAAATAAATATACGAGTATACATAGATAAATTTTGAGAAACAGTTCCAAAAACAGAGCGAACATGAAACGCTACTCTTATTAAAAGGGTATAATTCCAGGAAACATGTCTTCGGAACTAAGCGTGCTACTTGTTTCCTCAATATTTTGTGTTGTATAAGATGGAAAATCATAGTTTTATTACTTACTTCTAGTTGGGATATTATTTTGTCCTGCAGGATATTTTTCAGTATAATCTTCCTTAGAGTCATCTTGGAACAAAGGATAATATTGTGGTCGTCCAGAGAAGGAATTCGTAGCTACGACATCCTTTGTTACAACAGCTGATAACGATCCTGGATAATAGTTTTGGTTAAATGAAGGATTTTTGTAATATCCTTCTAACATATAACTGGGCGCAGTATCCAAATCGGCATAGAAAACTAAAATATAAAAGTTATTATTATAATGTAAATTAAAAATAATGTCTTTAAAAATTAATTAGAGGAGCGTAATTTATTGAATTAGAGCGATAAAATAATTCCTGCAAATGTTTGGCCAGATTCATTCAGTTCAAAAGCAATGTCAAAACATGACGAACTTGTCTACTAGATTTTTATAACTTTGATGTAGAAAATATGATTATCAGCTATTAGTCAAGTATATGATGTAAGTACGATTCTTTAGTATTGACTATTTCCCTAGACCAAATATCAGAGACTATTTCCCTAGACCAAATATCAGAGACTATTTCTCTAGAGAAATAGTCAATATTTGGTCTAGTGAAATAGTCGTCCCAAATATAACACGACCTTGAATAATATACTGCTATTTTTGTTGTTTCTAAATTTCTCGAACATTTTTTAATTTGATTCTACATAATTTTGGCATTAATAATCAACTGATTAAAGCCCTCGAGCTAAAGCTCTCGGGCTCTAATCAGATTATTAATGCCAAAAATTATGTCTCATCAACTTGATACTAAAATATTCTCGAGATTTAGATTCAACGAAAATTGCCGACTATTATCAAGGTCTTGGTATATTACTCTTGACTATCTCCCTACACCAAATGTCAGAGACTATTTCTCATGAAAAATAGTCAATATTTAAGATGATTAATTAATTTACACAAAAATGGCAATTTTTCATTTTCATCCCGCGTATTATATTTATCTTATACATGTATTTTACATTATTATATAGCTAGAGTTTCTAGTGATACTTTTAGGAAGTTTATCTAATTGTCATAGATTTTTTTTATTAAAAGTTTGGATATATTATCAAGTAGTTTTGAATATAATTTGATTCATTTATTTTTGAGACTATTAGTCAAATTTTGTACTTATTTTAAATATACATTTGTTAATGTTTTAATACTTATTACTCCGCCCTTTCTAAAATCAGTGAGATATTCCGAGCATTTGAGAAGCCTAGGCGTTTCTATTCCTTTAGGACTAGAAAAGTCTAAAAACTAGTTGCCAAGAAACGCTCGACTATGCTATTAATTTAATTTTTTAATTATTTTTATTTGTCACTGGTGAATGAATGTTTCTTCTGGACTCCAGGACCCTTTGGCAGGTGACAGTGCTGCCTTAATCCCTTAACAGTATACTTACTAACAATAGTAGCTAAATACCTATCAGTAGTTACAAATTATCTTTAAGCTAGTTGGTTGTTACATTTGGTGATAAACGGTGGTCCTTTAGACTTCCCGGTTGTTACATAGGTAATACAACGGGTGGTATAGGGACTATCGAGAATTGCATAAGCTAATGCACGACTTGCTGGAAAATCCAAATCAATACTGATAAGTATATCCAAGGTAATTTACAACGAAAAGAAGTACATGTCCTCAAGTTACCATCACCAATGCACCAATTCTAATCACAATCACAGTTAAATACCTGGGACTGCATATAGATCCAAAACTGACATGGAAAAAACATTATAAGAGATAAGAATAAATTATCAAATTAAGAAAAATGTGTTGGTTACTTTTCTAGAAAGTAAACTTAAATTTATAAAACCGTATCTATTTAGTCATGGTTCCGAGCTCTGACTTTAATACACGTACCAACAAAGCGCGAGATCGTTATGCATTGCACAATTTTGAAGCAATCAGCGAACTCTAGCCCCTTAAACAAATAGAGGAAAGTTTTGCCAAAAGACTTACTTAAAGAAAAATAAAATGAAAAACTAACATTGGATAACCTAGATTAGATTTGAAAGGAGATTATTTGTCCTTGTCCACCGTGACCTTTTCAGATCTATGGTAAGATTTCTTTATTTAGTGTATGTCATTTAGCTTGGTCTTTTTTATTAGACTTAGTAGCATTGACAGTGGCTCCCGCTTGTAGTTCTATGCATCTGGATTTTCTTCGCCCAATGTTAGAAACTTCAATCTAGCCAGGCCTTCACAGGTACAGGACGTGGGTTGATGTTTTCTCTTCTTTCTATTCTACCGAACCTGCACGATGTTGCTTCTTGTTGGATTGATGACACATATTTTCTTAAGAGACAGTGTCCTGTAAGAATAACTACTGTTATCCTAACGATTTGACGTTTCTAATACAGTAGGTAAACTTGGCCGATGGTGGTTTGATAAACTGTTTGGACTATCTCAATTTTTAATAGTTGTTTAACAATTCCTGATACCCGTTTTGCATCTATTGTTTATCAACTCTACAGAAGGGTTCCGGGTCTGTCATGGCCTTATTCGGGATAATTAATTCGTTGACCTTTTCGTTGCTCTGATATCCTCGAGGCCTGGTACCCAGACTAAGGTCACTTTATTTTGACTACTTAACTCTGCTAGATCTTTAGGCAGTCTTTCACTAGTCGTGATTTGATTTTTGGTAAGAGAATTGCTACCATAGTAGATTTCAATAATTTTGCTTGATACTAGTGGATTTATTATTTCTCTTGCACTGTATAATTTCAGTAAGGAACAATATTGCATAGTCTTCTATTTACAGCGATATCTTTGTTTTCAACTTGGGTCCAAAGATTCCAGGTTCCTTTCTTTGTTGAACCATCTGTATACCAGACGGATTCAGCCTATATGAGAGGTCTCGGGCTGATATTTGAATTTAAAAATTTCTTTCAGCAATATGGCTTGCATTAGTCTGTAAATAACGGACCTGGTTTTTCCTTGTATGAAAATGTGCAGTGTTGTGAGTTTTAGAAGCACTTCCATTGCTGCAGTTGGTGTAATACGCATAGCCTCAGTGGCACTCAGACAGGCGAGCCACTGAATGCCGGTGAGTTGGCATATTTAACTTGCCTGCGTAGTTTTGGATACCCATGCGACTGCGCCATAGGTTATCGTTGGTTTTATAAATCTTGTGTACAACGACATGGTCATTTTAGAGCGAAGGTCCTAGTTTTTCCCACATATTATCCTACATCTTACGAGAACTATTGCAGCTTTGTGTGGGAGATTTTTGAAATCTTAACTCCAAGTTAGCCTTTGGTCTGAGGTTTTTGCCTTCTGTGACAAATAGAATAACTATGTTATTTAGTAGTAGTGGTTTTAGTCTTGTAGTTGTAACTATTTTTCCTTTTTGCACTAGTTGTTTACAATGTTTAAAGCTGTTTAAGATCACTCCGAGATTGTGCCTACAAATAGCTACCTAACGATAATTTCCCACTCGTGTGCGTATCCTAAGTACCGGTAGCCTTCTTTGGACAATGTTTTGAGTAGGTCGTTCACTAGAACTGACCACAACATTGGAGATAGTATTCCTCCTTGTAGACATCCCTGTATAGCTTTTGCCTGTATAGTTGCCTATCCTAGAGCGAATAAAATATTCCTGCATGGTTTTGTGATCTCGGAGGCCAGCTTCCAGTCTATTGGAGTTGGTCTGATCTTCTTTTAACTGTAGCTCTCTTGGTCCCCTGAATCTAGACATGATAGGCTTGTTGAGGCCGGAAAGTGCACCTAAGTTACTATCTCTAGACTTTGCTTTAGTGTCGTAATATAGGTTAGGTAACCTAATCGAGATATAAATAAAATAATTGGTACATGAAAGTCTAATAATATATTAATAAAATTAAATATTTTTAACGAGATGAAAGTATAATGACTCGTTTGTCATTCGAGCTTTCATTTTGTTGTGGATGAAAATTTTATGAGTAGCAATATTTGCTTATAGGTTTGTCGTTTAAATACATTTTCAAAATTTAAAAGTTGTCCTTTACTTGCCATTCGGAAGAAAAATCGATTGCTCTGTTGTTGCAAAATAATTACATATGATAAGGCAAATCAGTATTGAAAAAAATCGTATTATGATGTAATCAAATTTAAAATAACTATTATTCGTGTGTTTTTATCTGTTGTTGGTATTAATGTTCAAAATAATCTTTCTAAATTATTAAATAAACAAACATCTTAAGATAATAAAAAATACTAGGTAATAATGAAATATTTTTTAAAAATGTATAACAAAATAGGAGCTATAAATGTTTTAATCCTGTGTACCAACATTCAGATTTCGACGCCCTGTGGAGAGGGAATTTACCAGGCATTTACCATTGGGGTGGTAGAAGCCCACCAAATAGCCAAATGGCGACGTTATTAACCTGTAGGATATTGACTTGAGTCCTCAGCGTCAACCAGCAGATTTTTGTCGAGTTGATAACCTACAGGACTTTAACTAACTGGGAATTGTAATATAATTTTTATCTTATACATAATTTTTCTAAAATGGATCCTATTCGAGATATTTGAGAAAATGTGTAAATTTTGAATTTTGAAGAAAACTCAAAAACGGATAAAGGAAAAACATTAAATTTTAAACTTAAGTTTTATTTCGGTCTTAGGTGGAATGATTAGATTTTGGACAAAGTCGGAACATCTGGGGGGGGGGGAGTATACTTTATAGGAAGCTGTTTTTATATTTTATGGAATATATCTGTTATTTACGTTTGGAAAAAAAATTCTTTCTTTAAAAGTTACTTATATAATTATTATCTATAATTTTTGGTCTATACAAAATTTTCCTTAAATGATCCATATTCGAAAAATTTGACAAAATGTAAAAACATTATTTTTTTATAAAAATTGTTTAAATAAAAGTTGTTTCTAATATAATTCTCTATAAGTTGTATCCTTAACATAATTTCTCTAAAATGGCCCGTATTCGAGATATTTGTGAAAATGTGTAATTTACGAATTTTGAAGAAAACTCAAAAACGGAAATAACATTAAATTCTAAGTTTTATTTTGGCCTAAGGTGAAATGATTGGATTTTGGACAAAGTCGGAACATTTGGGGGGTACTTTATAGGAGGTCGTTTTTATATTTTATGGAATATATGTTATTTATGTTTGGAGAAGAAAATTGTTCAAATAAAAGTTACTTCTAATATTATTATCTATAATTTTTGCTAAATGCCAAAATTTCCTAAAATGGTCCATATTCGAGAAATTTGACAAAATGT